GTACGAACTATGAAGATAAAAAGTCCGAAGTCTCTTGACATGGCGAGGGCACCTGTTCGTGAACCTTCGAACAGTGCAAGGGTGCTGGAACCCCTTAAAACAGCAGCCGAACGCAGGGGATAATGATGCGGGTATTGCCACCGATCAACAAAAACACTTTCAAGCGTCGTAGGCGAGTGTCGTTTGAGAACTAATTGAGTCATCTATTATGTGTGGCGCCGTGCCTCTGATAAACTGCGGTCACTTGCAAATACCAGTCAAAAATAAGCAATTCGACTACCGTAGCAGACGTGGGCGTTGAGCACGGTGGAGGGTGAATACTACACCGCAGCACAAATGGCCAAACTAACTGAGAAGACAACAGTTCGAACAGACTCTCCCGAAGGAACCTCAGCTGGGATCTACAAACGTTGTGCCGACACTCCGGCGCACTGGTTTCATGGGGTGATTGCACATGCATGAGGAGATGGGGTCGCCCCTGGTAACTGCTGATCTCTGAGATGCTTAACAGTGCAAGAACTATCGCGGCACAGGCCTCAACGATGATGCTGCGCAGGTCTTAACTATTGTCATTTTAAGACAAATCCCTGATTAGGAGTACAGGACGAGACCCAGCCAGGTGGGAATCCATGCTGGACGCGGACGTGAGGACCAGATATTCACACCGCGGCGCATTTTCGAATTCTGTCATGGCTACCAGCAATCAACGGAGGTCTGCCCTGTGGACTTCTACGCTGCGTCTGATTCCGTCCATCCTGTCTCTATGGCTGATAATGGAATTAGATTGAAGGCCGGCAAACAATCGACAATCATGGCTTGCTATCGCCGCATCACTGACCGAGTTCTGTTCTAAAACAACCTGTCCCAACCGATATCCAGTCTGGCGTTTGACAAGGTCGCATCCTGTACATTTAATTTAACTACGCCACTAACTGGATTCTCGGAAGGGTCCTACGCGGAGCCGAGTTTGCATTCCGGCACCGGCCGACTGATCTCGACTACGCTGACAAAATCGCTTTGCTAGCCTCCAGCCTCGGCGACCCAGTCTGTTCTGTCGCGGGTAAATGAAATCGCTGTCAATCGATGTATGCATAAATGCCGGTGAGACCAGTGTCGAGTTGCATCCTTGACCGGGAGGAGGCACCCCTCAGGACTAATGGCTGTCAACTTTGAATATTTCGGGGATATGCTGCTGTGAAAATAGACAGAGCGAGACGACATCGTCTCTCGAATCGACACTGTTCTCAGGGCCTCGACAATCCTTAGGGTGTCTACGCACTCCACGAGACAAAGATCCGCGCGCACCATGCATCCGCCCGGTCAGTCCCCTATAGGGCAATTAATGATGGGATGTACACGCGAAAGATGGGCGAAAATCTTAGCTCTGCGCACTGCTGCCTGAGAACCATCCTCCGGGTGAAGTACACTGACCCCGTCTCAAATGATACAATCGAGGATATCGGAGGTCACACAAACGACGACTGTGGTTTGGGTGCGACCTCCGTCATTCGCAGCATGAGTTCAGTGTCGCTGCCCTCGTTCCAGCGCCGTTGCCTACCAATGAGGCCAACTTAAGACCGAGTTTGGAACAGTTCTTCACGACATGGAAGTGGTTCCTGGGGACTCCGTCCCCCTCCACAGAGAGAATGGGTCAATCTGTCCAGACCAATGCGACGCATCGTCGCGCGTGGAGAGGTACAATCCACGACATCGAAGCCGGTTATACAGAACATCGTCACAGCTGCACCAAGTACAAGTAATCCACCGATGCGGCTTTTCTGTAAAATCAAACTTTACTTCTGACATAGGAAGAGCAGTTGCGACAAACGTGGGACAAATCCACAAACTGGGTGGGTCAAAACAAGACAATGGGGAAGATAGTGACGGCAGACAAAACCTAAAAGACAAATAGGACTTTGTGCAAAGCCAACTGGCGGTAAGTATGCCACTTATCCTAAAGTTCGCACACTAAGTGGTCAGTAACAAGAGGCTTGGCTTAGCTGCGGCTAGAGTTACCGCCGGAGTCTAGACCTAACGGCAAAAAGTAGTTTGAGGAAGCCGGTCTTTCCGGAGATAATCGTGACTAGGCTCCTCTACCATGTATGCAGAGACCAGATGTCGACGGCCTATTTATCACGCGGACTTTTGAGATCCGCATCAAGAATGGAACCCAATCGGTTTCGAAGTAACGCATCTAGGCCGCTCAGATGAAGCGGTCGCCAGACTTCGGAAAACAGCCGCGCAAGCTAGTGGACGAACAGTCTACAGAGGCGAAAAGGCGATTCGAAGTAGTTGCGAAGGAGACACGACCACTGGAACAAGAGCTTAGTTAGCTTGGCGTCTCGGATTCTCACTCAAATCCATTATCGAAGGCAGAAAGCCTATACCAGAACGACATTTACGCGCGCTTGTCATCGTTGCATAAACCAAAGTGACAATCGCCGCGTCTTACTTCGAGACAAGTTACACTTGGTTTGGGCATCAGCCTATGATATGCAACTCCGCCAAGGGGCGCTGTCAAGTCACGACTGATATGCTGGCACAAGCAAAGGTTTTTCCGGTCACACTGCGGTCCTTAACTGGGGCTCAAGGCAGGCATTTCCCATAGGGGACATGCAGGGCTTGCGCACGGGCATTGCACGTACTACGAGATAAACTTGGTGGGACAACGACTACAAACCAGACATATTTTGACGTACCGGGGCCAGCAGCGTCAATGAATACAGTAGGATCACTGAAAGATTTGCCTCGCGGACTGCAACACCCGACGATGAGGCATAAGACAGGCCCGAATAGAAAACATTAATGAAAATCGCACACGAAACAGCTGGCGTTGTGCAGAAAATGGTACGACCGCCAACACAATAAACAGCATCAATACAAGAGCAACGTTAAAGGTGTATGAAGACCACGACGGCTGAGTGGAACGAATCGCACCAAGCCCGCGGTCAACGACCGTATCCGGCAGTTAAATACACAGTTAAATCCCGAGGACTGTTCTGGACCCAGCTACTGGAGCCTACGCAGTTAGGTCTGCCTTCGTCGGCCGCATATAGTATGGCAATGGCATGAACTTAAAAGACACAAGAGAGCCCATTGAAAACCTTTATTTCGCAAACTTGCATCAAAACTTGCTGAAGCCCTTCTTCGCCTTGGAACCGCTACTCTTTGATACCTTTATGACGTTAAAACTGACGGTCTTGCTTAGAGGACGGCATTCACCACAGGTGACGAGATCGCCGACTTGGACGTCACTGTGGAGGTAATGAGAGAAAATGATCTTACCGGAAACACGGAGAAAGATGCACAGACATGTTCTTGTGGCGCCTTTCAAAGCGCTTGTACTTCTTTACATATTTCAGATAATCCCGTCGAATAACAATTGTTCGGTTCATTTTCATCTTTCGAACAATACCAGTAAGTATCCGACCCCGAATGGTGACATCGCTGGTGAAGGGGCACTTCTTATCGATATAGGTCCCGAAGATGGCCTCTTTGGGTGTTTTGTAGCCCAAACCAATGGACTTGTAGTATCTCGTACCCTTTTTGCCCAAAACAGCCTGTTTCTGGAAAGCCCTCTCAGCCTGAAGAAGAGAATAGTACAAAATCCCATGTTACTTGTTCTGCCATCGTGCCTTACACGCCTTTCCGAAAAGTGCGCGGAGGTGAGGGCGACGAGTTCAAACGCACGACTGATTTTAGTTGTGGAAATCAAATGGTTAAACATGTCCAATTCAGATTTTTCGACACATTATTGCCAGACTTTACTCCGGATGACAATCCGAGCCGAGACTTGAAACATGCTTACCACTGAAGTATTGTGGGATTGAGGATCCAAGCAAAGGGCAAAGTTGATTCTGGATTCCTGGTATGAGACTTCGGAATCTGCCAGGAACTGATCAAAAGTTAAACCTTAAAGTGGCTTACCTAAACATGGGAATGTGGAAGTATGAGATGGGTAGGTAAGGGGCTCAACATCCAACCAATTACGGTGTACAGATTAAAGTACTTATGGTAGTAATTATGATAGAAGGAGATGTAAAGCGGAAAGAGCGTTTAAAGATAACCAACTTCGCAAAAAAACTCTGCCGCAGCTAATGGGCGACGAAACAGTTGCATTAACGCAGAAAGTTCTAGTGTCAGGGTACGTGTCGATAGAAAAGAGCGTTAACAGATAATCTGAACTCAAAGTGGTCTTCATGGCCATGTTCCGACGTTCGATTTCATTTGTCTTTAAAACGAAACTGAAAAAATCTGTCCAAGGTCTAAGTCGGCTATCAAATAAGCTACAGCCCGCCATCAGGCCCATTTATGTATGCATACTCCAAACACACTGGCTAGTGTTGGGAGCAACGACCTTCGACGCAATTTAGGAAGCCGTTTAAGTTTTCCTCGTGTCATCAGCAGTCAGGCAGCGTGCAAGAAAGGGTAAAAACGCTCTATTCTATCTT